TGTGTGTGTGTGTGTGTGTGTGTGTGTGTGTGTGTGTGTGTGTGTGTTTATGTATATATAGAATAGATGCTTTGCTTTAAAGTATCACAAATCTATTATTATACCTAAAAATGAATAACTTCTTAATATCATCAAGCATCCAGGAAAATAATCACATTTCTCTTATTTCATAATTTTTTAACGTTCAATTTTAAAGTTCATTTGAATGAAGTCTATACATTGCAGTTGGCTGATATAGTCCTTAAATCTCTTTTTATCTATATGTCCCTTCTCCCTCTTTTTTCTTATAGCAACTTATTTGTTGTAGAAACTTAATTGTTTGTTCTATTACATTTCCCACAATCCGGATTTTGCTGGTCACATCCCCAAAATGTGCTTTATCATGTTCTCCTTTACCCTATTTTTTGTTATTGTAAACTAGTAATTAGATATCGAGGCTTGATCAGCTTCAGTTTAATTTTTTGGCAGGAATATCTCATGCTGAAAATTTTCATTAGAAAGCAAATAAGTTTGTTGAACATTTTGTGATGCTAGCAGCTTTGATGATCCTTGCCTGTACCCGTTGTTTTATTCCACTGGAGGTTGAAAAAACGACTATTATGTTAATGCCCTTGCCTTCTCATCTGTAACTGTGTTGAATCTACATTCCCTGATTAGTCCTATGGTCTGGCTTTTCATTTGCTCTGCATTATTACCCTATTGTTGCTGGAGCATATTGCATCAAAGTCTGCATTAGTGCAGCTACACATTCACAGCTTCTGGTCTCACCTGAGCTTCAGTGCTACCCATTTCTTGCCTTTGGTTAGCAACATTTCCTAAAATTTCCCACAGCAGCAATTCCAAAACTTTGTTACCATCCTTAGCATTCCAATGTTATCTCACATTCACTCATTATCAACAGATGAGTTTTTCTCTTAATTTTATGGACAAAAACAGAGCCTCTGGGTGCAAACTTTACTCCCCAAACTGATAAAATTTATGTCATTGTTACTCATTCTTATCCATTTTCCCCTTCCTCTTAAATTCTCCTATATTTCTGTATTTTGGGAACTTGAACATGTACATTTTTGAATTGTAACTCATATCATATAAACTGTTTGCATATTTACCTTTCTCCCATTCTCAGTTTCCTGAGGATAGAGTGCATGTTTTACTCATCTTTGCATCTCTAACAACCTCACACATTTCCCAGAACATGACAGTTTTTGATAACTATTGATTTGAGTTAATACTCGAACCATTAGAAGGTATTTAAGTCACATTTAATATACTCTATAATGTAGCAAGGTACAGAATTTTATCTTGAAATATTTACAGACAGAAGCCATTATGGCAATCCTGGGGATATGATTATTTGAGTGTAATTTTTAATATATTCCCAGTACCTCATAGAAGTGAGCTAAGGGATAATTTCGTAAGATCAACAAAGACTTGGGGTGTCATCTTTTGGAAAAAGATCCCCTCCCCTCTCCCAGACTTTCAGGGACAGTGTCTGCCACCTCCCATGCTCTGAGAGGGAGTGCCAGAATTTATGAATGGCAATTCATGAAGCAACCAAGAACATCTTAGTTCTTGCACTGTGAGGAACTGGAACAGATGTCCTGTGCCTAGGACTGTCCTGTTTTATGGTGGTGCTCATCACCTTTAATTTGGTGAAATTATTATACCAACTCCTTTACATTCCCCAAAAGATTCCAGTTTTAATGATAAATGATATGCTTATTTTTCTTAACTGTAAGGGAATCTTCCTCAGATTCTATCTGAAACATTTCCTTGTGATTCAGTAGTATATGACTAGCCTTTTTAGAGTTAGAAAACATTCTTACCAAAAACAAGTCCATAAAAAGTAACTCATTTTCAGTACTACTCCCAACACATAGCTCATAAACACAGCATATGAAAAACATTATATTTGTGTTGATATCTTTTCTTCATTAGAAATAAAATTTCAAAAACCATGCTAAGAAACTTAGTGCTAACTCTCACCTGGCTGTCATTGCTCTTGAGAATCATATGTCACTGTTGAATCCTTAGAGTGATACTTTTCAATCATGGTGTCACAATGACAAAACTTGTCATAAGTATTTTTTTTTTTTTTGCTAATGACAATTTAGAAAACTGAGTTTTTGCAATTGAGTAGGTTCTAGGTTTTCTCCATAATCACATCTTTCTCTTTCATTGCATCTTGTTATGGATTATTGCTTGGGACAGAAATAAATAAAGCTACAGCAAACCCAATGGGTTTTTTTGAATCTTTCATATACTACCTTATCTACTGCACAGTTCATAAGAAATGACCATTAACTTACTTGCTTGTGAAATGCACTTATAAATGCATAGCTCACATCCCTCAAAAATGCCTACTTTGATATTATTTTTCTGAAAAATTGTGTGTGGTGCCTACACGTGTGAGTGTATTAGGGCTTAGAGTAGGAGAGGTAGATAGGGTCATGGATCCAAATCTGGATATGCCAATGAACACATGGATATCACCTGTCAAGAGTCAGCTGAAAAACAAAATGTGGAGAACCAGTTTCATGGATTATTTTCCAAGGCAACCATTTCCCTTATCTGCTCTTGGCATGACCATCCATCTAGAGGTCGAATTTTTTTTTTTTTTTTGAGAAATTTAAGGCCATCTGTCAGGTTCAAGTTCTCTCATTTTCTGAACAAACAAAATCTTTTCTCTTATGCTCTTTTCCCCCTTAAGAAGTCGGCTCTCAGTACCAAGGATAATTTCTTAGTCTTTACCTACATTCATGCATCATACTTGAAAATACATGCACATTCACAAACTGAGAACCTTTCTCATTTTCTTGCTCCCTCTATGACAAATTCAGTCTATTTCTTTGCATTGGTTCCTTTCTTTCTGAGTACAGACACAATGGAAAAAACAAAGCCAAACCTTCTTTTGTGTTTTCTTACCTCTCTATTTCAACCCATCTTCCTGGTCTGTCCTCATTACACCTAAGCATTTTTGTTTTGTTTTGTTTTGTTTTGTTTTGTTTTGTTTTGAGAGCAAGAGAGAGAGAGAATGAGAGAGAGAGAGAGAGAGAGAGAGAGAGAGAGAGAGAGAGAGAGAGAATCTTAAGCAGGCTCTAGGCTCAGCATGGAGCTAGATGCAGCACTCAATCCCACAACCCTGGGATCATGACTTGAGCCAAAGACCCTGTTCTTTCCTGTGCAGATTTTACCTTCTCCTCAAGGCTCAGACCAAATTCTGCCTCCTCCCTGGAAGAAATCTTATCTAGTTATTGCAACTAGACATTAATACTTTCTCTTCTGAATTTCTATTACATTTTATATCTGTTCCATTCCTTTTGAAATTATATTATTCTTCCACTTAGAGATTTTGTTTTTTGTAAAGTGTACATATTATACCTGCTAATTAAATTGCCACTCTCTAGAAAGCAAATTCAGTGCTTTATATATCCACGTAACCTCTCCTAAATTTGGTATTTGCCCATAAATAATGAGTAAATGCTCTTTTGATCCTCCCAATGTCCACTTCTTTCTTTCTTTCTTTCTTTCTTTCTTTCTTTCTTTCTTTCTTTCTTTCTTTCTTTCTCTTTCTCTCTCTTTCTTTCTTTCTTTATAACTTTTTTTAATTCTCCCACCCCCTATTCTTTTTCTTTCTTTTTTTTTAGTATTTTCTTTATTTTTGAGAGAGAGACAGAGTGCAAGCAGGGGAGAGGCAGAGAGAGAGAGGGAGACATAGAATCCAAAGCAAGCTCCAGGCTCTGAGCTGTCAGCACAGATCCCGACGCAGGGCTCGAACCCACAAACCATGAGATCATGGCTTGAGCCGAAGTCAGACACTTAACCGACAGAGCCACCTAGGCACCCCCAATGTCCACTACTTTAAAATCTCCCTTTGCACATTAAGGTCATTTAATAATTTTTGTAAGTATAATATTAAATTGTTTGGTTTACACAATGTTAACAAACCGCTAAACATTATGTATCCTTCCCTTTCTGCATTTGTTTTTATTTTAATGATATTTTCTTATAAAAATGTCAATTTTAATGTCCATATAAGCTTATTAGAATAGAATTCTACTTTAAAAAGAATACTCTAGTTTTCCAATGGAGCACTGTTCACCATCATTTTAAAGTCTTTTAGCTGACTTCTCAGTTGTCACTCTCTTGAAAGTCTGGTTGGCATGGCTTTGTATTTATGTGGGTCATTTTCTTAGCTATAAAAAAAATCCATGTAATTTATCCTAACTTATGCATTACCAATTTAAGGATGTTGAATATATTATGTTCTTCTTCTGGATCGTGTGAAGACTCTTTGAAGATTTTTTAGTTTTAGTTAAGGTATTTGTTAAATCTTTTTTGTGGTAAGTTATAGAAGTCCAACTCTAATTTAATAAACAGAAACCCAATTCAAACTGACTTTATTGACTCATAAAATTGGGAACTCCAGGAGTAGCCTTGGCATCATGCACAGCTAAATCTCCAGGGATTTTATTCCCGTTTCCTCTCTTCTCATCTTTTAGCTCTGCTTCCCTCAAAGTTTTGACTTCATTTTCTCCTATGGCAAAAGTGGACATTTTCCATATAGCTCAGAAAGAGCCTGGTTCCTAGCAGATCCCTTCCAATGTCTGTATACAACTTCACAGGAGATTCTAATTGGCTTTATTTGGATCTAATGTCCACTCCAGCACTAGTTACTGGGCCAGTGAGATAAGATACCCTGAATACCACTGCCTGGGTCAGATGACTCCAGTAGTATAGAAGTGGTAGTATAGATGCGGATTGACATCTGCAGAACCACATAGACCTGAGGGAAGATGGCTACAAAAGAGAGAAGATCTAGTTGCCAGGAGGACAAGGATGGTGACACAAGCTGATCAAAACAGTAAAACAAAAACAAAAACAAAAACAACAAAAAAACACCAAACCCCCAAAAAACTACTTTAGTCTACTGCACTTCACCCTTTGACTTTTCAAGACCCATATCCACATTTTAAAAAATGCTCCTGGCAAAATAATGCAAATAACCCTCAACTAAAATTGTACTTACCTAAAGTCATTGTCAGTTATTATCCTCCAGATCTTCTGGAATCTCAGAGCTGTGTACTTGATGTGCAAGTGTTCTACTGAGTTTCCCTGGCCAAGCAGTGAGTTATTGGTCACCAATCTGGCTTCCCTAGGCTTGACCTGTGGGCGAGTTCCCTTTTCCATTGTTCTCTGAGCCTCCATCAGAGAGAGGCACAGGAAAGAGTGTCTCTTCTGGAGACTACTGCTTTAGGAGCTCACCTGATGTGGACTTAGTTCCTGGGGCCTGGAACTACTGAGTAACCACAAGGTCCTGTCTGATAGGGTCAGGTTTTTCTGGCAATTTATCCCCCATAAAGACCTGCTGTAAAATGGCATGGATTTGAATTTTTTTTTTTCAACGTTTATTTATTTTTGGGACAGAGAGAGACAGAGCATGAACGGGGCAGGGGCAGAGAGAGAGGGAGACACAGAATCAGAAACAGGGTCCAGGCTCTGAGCCATCAGCCCAGAGCCCGACGCGGGGCTCGAACTCCCGGACCGCGAGATCGTGACCTGGCTGAAGTCGGACGCTTAACCGACTGCGCCACCCAGGCGCCCCAACTGCGCCACCCAGGCGCCCCTAAAATGGCATGGATTTGATTACTAGAGACTCTTAGAACTGTTAACCAAGGTTAGAAGTCTGTGGGCTACAACCCGTGAATCTAGGCTTTGACTTTGAAGTCTGTGGGCTACAACCCTTGAATCTAGGCTTTAACTTTGCAGTTCTAGTCTTTAAGCAACAGTCCAAGAGGACAGAATCCATTCAACCTAACTGGCTCCATTTGACCTTTGGTGTTGGTTAACATGAAAGAATAGCTGGCCTTTGATATATACCTCCTGTTCTCAGGTAGTGTCTGAGGGATGGTTCGTTATGTTGGAGTGAGTCATTATGGCTGCTGTTCTCAGGATGTTCAACAAGAAGTGATTGGGAGGGGTCTGGGATCAGTCTTTCAGGATTGGTTACCAGCACAGAACCAGACTGATTAGGCTAGAATCTAAGCTCCCCCTGTTTACTAGGTGTGTGACCTTATGTAAGTCATTTGATTGTTCTGTGCCTTACTGTCCTCATTTATAAAGTGGGCATAATTTTTCCTAACTTACAGGGTTATCATAAGGATGAAATGAGTTAATATATATAAAGAGCTTAGATTGGTGCCTGTCACATAGTAGGCCCTATTTACATGACAACCATTTTTACCGCCCTGTCTTCATTTTTTTACTCTTCAAGAGTCTATCTAGTCTTATCTCCCACAATGGTTTCCGCCTTTGTACCTTCCTTTTGCTTACTTCAACAAGGGACTTAGAATTCACTTTTCCTATTTTCCACGTGATTATCTGAACATAAGCAGATAATGAGCAGAAGGGATAATGAGCAGAAGGGAGATGGTCATGAGGCATGGCTGGTTGACAGCCCCACCAAGCCCACATGTAATCCCCAGAGTAAGTGCTATAGACACTTAGGGGAATGGGGGCAAGTATTGGAGGGAGGAGAGAGAGAGAGAGAGAGAGGGAAGAGAGGAACCAAACAAACCCTATCTACTGAAGTCGTTATTACTACTTTGTGAAATAATGTCTCAGGTTTAGTTCTCTAAATATAGAGCCTGAGAAAGGGATTCAGATACATGTGATTTCTTGAATGGCTCCTCTTTAACAAAATTCTATGGAGTAAGGGACTCAGGGCAAGTAAGGAACAAGAGCCAAGAGAAGATGCGGTCTCTGCTAAAGTCTACACTTGGCCTGAATCATGGACAACCCTGGGGCAAAAAATCACATAACAGAGTTGTCTCTGCCTTGAGACAAGGACGCCCACTGATTGGAACCCCATGTATCTGTCAGTTATTGGCAGAGGCGGATGTAACCTCACAGGCAACAAGGTCCCCATCCACCAAGTACAATTCAAGGAGAAGAGCATTTTGAGCCACTAGCATCCAAAATTCATTGCATCGTCGGTGTGAACGCATGGGCCTGGTAAAGGGGAGATCATCAACAGCATCTATTTCCAATAATGATAATAATAATAATTAAAAGAATAATGATGGTGATGGTAATTATGATAGCTGTTATTTATGGAATACTAATGGAACTAGTACTAAAAACTTATTGGAATTGTAGTTATTACACTTGGATGTTGCTTTTATTTTGTTTTCTTTCCAAATACAGTGTTTTTGGTGCAGTGAAGAAAGGGCTTGCAAAAAAATGTGTTTTCCATATTTTGGGTGTCGATTCATTTCTGTGTATTGGTTGAACTATAGAAGTGAGTTATCCATGTTTGAATTTTTATGTACTTTTTTTTTCAGTTAACTTGCAAATACTGTATTTAACTACATTTAGAGGATTATAAATTATTATATTTGCCTTATTAAAAATATAGCAAATCTTTTTATTGGTGTTTCCCTGGATACAGGCTGATACTGGTTGTTTCCAGCCAGTGTTGGTTCAAGCTAGGTCAACATTCATTCTGATTGGTGGGTACCTTGCCATACCAATTATTAAAAACTTTAAATTTCATCTCTAACATACTTTAATGTATGATAATCACTACCCAGTGAAGGGAAGTTTGTATTCTTATGTTGTTTTAGAAACTCCAGGAGTTTCTTATATGGTCTTGGGGTGAGGACATATTGGGCCCAGTACCATTACTATAACTTACATTTCTTCAACTAATATATTCTATACTGCGAATTGCCATTCAGAACGGTGACTCCCTAGGACTTAACAAATTTTAATCATCTTTGTATCTGTAATGTTGTGTTTTGGGTTTGTTATATGGTACTTACCAAAGCAGGGAAATGCACTAGAACCTTTTAAGGACTTTTCAAAAAAGGCCAAATGAAAAGCCTTCCAGGTAAACCCTAACTATGTGAGAAAACCCAAAATAGAATTTATGTTTGTTTCTTAACTGAAGTGAAAAAAACATGAATTTTGCCCTCAAGTCCCTATTTTTTTTTTCTTCAGGTACTATCAGGTATATTTAAATCATAACTGATTGTAGCAAAGAGCTTATAAACAAGTTACAGTTCATATATTTAGTATCAATGGGAAGTCTAGTTTCTATTTCATGTTCTGCCCTTATAGTTGCATTTTACAAGTATACACTATGATCATGTGGGGGGGGGGGCGGGGAGAGGTGGAATTTATAAACGCTAGAAGTCTGCTTTCTCAGCAAACATTTGTTGTCTCTTTGATAAGGAACTCCTGAACTCAAACAACAAAACTTCCCCTGCTATCTACATGCATCTTTACCAAAACAGCAGCCTCAGGCATCTGCTATTTTCTGTTGAGATGCTGCCTGAAATGAGTTTAGAGGCAAAATACAGAAAAAAATGTCAGTGTCCTAATAGTTCACTAATTTGGAGATGAAAGACTTTGAATGCTAGCTCCTTTAGCAGCTCAGATAATTTTCTAATGTTGGTGATTGTGGTGTTAAAGTAGTTTTATTGGAGTATGTGATGTATATCATTTTCAATAACTTGTTAATTTGTATCTAAGAATCAAACTGTATGATACTAGAAAAGATAAAAATATAAGAAATTATTGCTCTTCTGTTAACTTAAAATATATTTCTTTTCATACATTTCAGTTGACATATTTGGATTCCTGATGCTTCTATTTGTCATAATATTAATTACAGGGCTCATTTGGTATTATTGCACCTATCACTATTACCTGCAGGAATATGTTCATTTTATTTTTAGTAAGAATGCACTTGGGGATAATATCACTGAAGAGAATGCTAAGCTAGTTATCAGGAAATGTTTTACCCTTTTTATGTAATAAAAAATAACATATATATGATAAGAAAAAACACTCAGAAGGTAACAGAAAATTACAAAATGAAAAGGAAAGTTCAACTTTCCCACCCCTTGTCTGCCTCTGACACCTCCCGCACAGAAGCAATCCTTCTAGTATGAATCTAATGTAGTTCTTTTGATTACTTCCTGTATTTGAACAATGCGGTTATGGCTCCTTTTATTAACTTCAGCTGTTAATCTATGGACTCCCCAGCATGAAAGCTGAAAATTTATCTTGCACTATCATATTTTTCTGATGTTATTTTGTTCTTAGAGGGTATTATCATTTTGTTATTTTTGAATTTTAACTACAGTTTTTCATTATTAGCTCTTAAGATTGCTAGCATTTCTTCTGTTGGTTATCATTTCAACTTGATTGACTTCATTACTTTGAGTTCCAGTTAGTGCTCTATTTCTATATCCATCAATTCTTCCCCTGTTATTTAAATAAGAAAATGTGGAACCCTGTACTTCTATGTATCTTCTCCTCCATCTCCTAAACTCTATAAGCTTTCTCACTCATTTGACCTTACCAAGTATATAATATTTACTTCTGTAATTTATCTTTATATTTTGAAATGTATATTCTATAGTTTGAATATAAAAATTTAAGAATAATACAAATAATAAAACATATCAGGATTGTATGAATATTGTTTAGTAAAGACCAAAGTGGAAATAGGAAATGTGATTCTATGTCACTAACCTGTATTACTTGAAAGAGAATTATCTAGTGTCTAGATCAAATAGATTATCTTCCTTAGTCTCCATTTCTAAAAAATCATGCTATATTTCATATTGTTTCATGTTTACATTGCGACTTTCTTATATAGCTTCTGCATTTTCTAGGATTTTTAATTACCTTCATTATTTCCTGTCAAGGACAGACATGCATATTTATTCCCATCATTGTGATCATTCATCTTAGTATTTGGAAAATTATTCTCCTTTTTTATCTTAAAAAAATTTTTTTAATCTTTATTTATTTTTGAGAGACACAGAGACCAAGTGTGAGCAGAGGGAGGAACAGAGGGAGAGGGAGACACAGAATCCAAAGCAGGCTTCAGGCTCTGAGCTGTCAGCACAGAGACTGACGCAGAGCTCGAACTCATGAACCACAATTTCATGACCTAAGCTGAAGTCAGATGCTCTACTAACTGAGCTACTCAGGTGCCCCTCCTTTTTAATTTATAGACACTCTTCTAAAAGTCTTCTGAGTTCTTGTTCTAATTATAAACATTAGTTTCTTTTTACTGCTCTACTGGGTTAAAAGAATTTTTTAGATCCTGTATCTTCCTCTTTTTAAGATTCTTTTTTTCCCTTTTACTGGAGTATATCCTCAAGCAACTTTTTCAAAAGGAGGTATAGAAAGGTATACAGAAGGTATAGAAAGTGTTTCCATAGTCCATACATGCCAAAATTTTTTTCTTCATTCTCCATTAGCCTGGCATGCTATTATTTTCTTTCCTTGTAGTGTACACCTTTTCCAAGAAGGACCCATAGACAAGATAGAAAGGCCCATAAACAAGATAGGTGCAGAGTAATAGGTTCATCTGTAAGGAAAACATGCTCATAAAAAGATAAGGGTTAGCCAAATGTTTTGTTTGCTTACCTGAGGCCTCTACTTTGTCTAGGGCTTCATATATTTTGACTTTGAGGCTTTATGTCTTTTCCTTATTAAGAAACAGGAATAAAAGATAAGATGGAAGATGGGGCGCGTGGGTGGCTCAGTGGTTAAGCATCCAACTCTTGGTTTCCACTGAGGTCATAATCTCACGGTTCATGAGTTTGAGCCCCATGTTGGGCTCTGCGCTGGCAGTGTGGAGCCTGCTTGGGATTCTCTCTCTCTCCGTCTGTGTGTCTGTGTGCCCCCCCCCCCACCCCAGTGCTTTATCCCTCTCTCTCCTCTCTCTCTCAAAAAACTAAATAAACTTAACAAAAGATGGAAGATGATTTCTTATTTTTTTACCCCTGGGACAAAAACATATCCAGAAGGAATAACCAATAGGGTATATTACATGTGTGCTTAAGAGTCTGTGGCAAATATATTGTTCTTTTCCTTTTTATATTTTCTCCCCAGGATCCTGGGGTCTTAAAAGTGTTATCACCTTTTTTGTATAGCGCTGAGTAAACTGGCAAATTATTCCCACCAGAGAGTAGGGACCTGAGCCAATATATATCACTGAGGCTTCTTTTGTATACAGTTTAAAAAGAAAACTTAGAAGCCTCTCTGCAAATATGGTTCAACAATTATAGTCAGTTCTGGTTAGCTCTGCTATTCACTCACCATCGCTTCTTTTTCAGTTTCTTTTAGAGATCTCCTAGACCTTGTGAATTCAATGAACACTGTATTCTGTTAGAGGAATTTGTCTTATTAAGGACTTATTGCACTTTATAATCCAAAGATCCTGGTTGCATTCCAGAAACATCCATCTTTCATTTAAAAAATACCTTTGAATGACTAATGGAGCATTAAAATATTGATTACTCTATTTGATCTAATATTCTTGTTATTCAGCAGATATGATTTAAAAGTTAAAGCACTTTTAAAAGTTCCAAATGTTGGAGAATATAAACATTTAACTACTAATGTACTCAGTGCCTCCTTGACTCTCATTTATTTCAGCAAATATTTATTGAGTATCTATTATGCTCTAGGCAGTGTTGTCACTTACTAGGAAAGATTAAACCCTCACTTTTGTGGAGCTTATATCCTACTAAGGGGACACAGACAAGTAAGCAAGCAATTGTTAATTCTGCTGCTAACTTATTGATATTTTCATTGATATTTCACGTATTTTAATTCTGTTGTTCTTAATCAAACACTAAAATTCTCCTGGTGGATAAATAAAGAGAGCATTTAAGTTAATAAAGCAATGGTAATAAAAAATTGTGTTGAGTGCAGTCTAATGAAATGAAATACAGTCGACCCTTAAACAACACAGGTTTGAACTATGTGAGTCCACTTATGTGAAGATTTTTTTCAATCAGTACAGTGTAGTACTATAAGTGTATCTTCTCTTCCTTATGATTTTCTCAATTACATTTTTTTAGCTGACTTTATTGTTAGAATCCAGTGTATAATACATATAACATAAAAAATTTGTGTTAATCCACTGTTTATGTTATCAGTATGGCTTCTTATCAATAGTCATCTATTAGTAGTTAAGTTTTGGGGGAGTCAAAAGTTATACATGAATTTTCAATCATGCAGTTAGCACCCCAAACCTGCATGTTGTTCAAAGGTCCACTGTAATTTCAATTATAACCTTAACTATTCTGAGCATAAACCTAATTAATTCTAAGTTAATCGTTTTGAACAGAGCTGCGGTCTGCATTGCTGGAAGTTTATATTCACCGTGGGACTATAGCTGCTGGCAAGTGTTTTCATTTATCTGATGGGATGTCCCAGACTCTCAGTAACCCAAAGTTAGGAGTCTTGCCCTTACTTATTCCAGGCATCAAAATTAAAGTATGAGTGCGAAACATGGCAGCAGATTTCTTTGTTCTAATTTCTAAGACACATTTTTATAACCTCAACAGTTCATCTAAGATGGCTGAAACCAAAATGTTGCTAGAGAGAGGTAAAAATTTCCAACCCATATTGGGTATTTATAGCTTTCTCAATTACCCCGTCTCCCACTCCACAAAAGCAGCTCAACAGCAGATGACTTTTCCTTGAGGAATCCTTGCAAGCACTCCCCACATTAATTTACTTCATCTCACCTAGTTGACTGACCCTCTATCCACTCTTCTCAGCTTGATTCTTTAAACTTTCCCTTACTTAACAGAACTCCAGTCTTGACCGCCATCAACTCATCATGCACAGCTCCTTGGCAGGTCCCAGGCCTGGGTCCTAGAACCCCAACTGAAATCAGAACTGTACACTTCGCACCCCTTTTCACCTGGGTAGTAGGACTATAAAAATTTTTAGATCAGAATATGACTGAAGAAACAGTCCTACAAAGTGCTTTATAATTACCATTACAAATAACTTGGGTGAGAGGCATCCAGGTTAGTGTGCTGTTTTGGCCCTCCAGGACTTAATACTAAATCTGAACCAGAAGCAAGGTAAACCTTGTAAGGGTAAGGAGGAAATGTCAAGCACATTCATACTCCATTGCCAATTTCTGGAGCTTCTTATGTTGAAATTGTGTTGGTGGTAACAGGATTGTAAACTGTTCCAAAAAGCCATTTGAGTTGGGGAGCTGAAGTGCAGGGTGATTGCTGCTTCCTGGGATTGAAATCAAACCAGAGGACTGCAGAGAATAGTTCTGTGTTTCATTTTTTTTCTCCCTCCATTTAAAACTTCACAGCAAACTGGGCTAAGAGAAATGCTCTGAAAAGAGCACAAGGTTGGGAATTTATTTGTTTTGGTAGAAACAGTTATCTATTCACAGATTGAGAACAATTAGTTACACTAGATTCATTGTAGGAAATACAATGTAATCAAATTCACAAGACAGGATTATTTTTCACCCAAGTGAATAATCTGAAACCCAGGGGGAATGCCTGCATTAAAGGGATTGAGTAAAGGAGACAGGATTCATCAAAAGGAATTGAAGATGGAAAAATGGGAGACAGTGGTGTTATAGAGATCAAAAAAGGAGGGTCTGAATATGGAGGGAGAGAAATTCATGGTTGTCTTTTGGATTTACAAATTGGGAGGTTACTGGTAACCAATCTATTTGCATGTGGTAGACTTAGGAGCATTTATTTGAGACATAGAATAAACAGACTTCTGATTTGTGGAGTAGGAAAGTAAGGAATCTGTAAAAAAAAAAATTATACACTCTCTGTTATTTGACCATGATGCTCCTCAACCACAGTTATTTTCCAGGAGTGATGGTAATATCACCCCTCTTGGTCCTTGTTTCTATACTTCGCTAGAAAGTGAATTCAGAAGATGGTTTGCTGAGGTTACGGATTCATTAAACATCCACAGGTTTTCTGTCACTGGAGACAACTAGTCTTGTGGTCATCACCTAATATTTGACCTTTTCCTCTGTTAAATTCATACCGAAGTTGTAAATGCCTTAAGACTCTGTGTTTAGCATTTTATAAGTTAGGTAAGTCATCCCTGACTTTTTAGAAAGACTTTGAAAAGGTAAATTGATTTTCTTTTTTCATAGAATATGATGAATAGATAACTGAAAAAGACAGATCTTCCAGAGTGAGAAAGAGGGAGTTTCTTCAATGGTAAGGTTCCAAATTATATTGTATGCATTGTCTGCATGGCCTTTCCTTCCTCCTATTAAGCAACTTCTAAGAAATGTAATCAGAGTTATTAAGAAAGTAGGTGGAAACCAAATCTGTAAAATGTAAATGATTTCCAGTGCCTGAAAACATGTAATATAAGGCAGCAGATAAAGGAGATACGATAGCTCCTCATTCAGGCCGACTTAGTTGAAATCTGGGTTTTGTTTACTAAGTATGTCATATTGGACAACTAACTTAATCTGTCTGTGCCTTAGTTTACTCATTTGTTAATATTATTTAATCATAGTGACAAATCATTGGGTAGCTCTGAGGACAAAATGAGATTTTACACAAAATTTTTAGAATTTTCCTCAATGCTGTTACTACCAATGTTACTAGCATAGTCACAGAATCATAGCCCTTACATCTCAGCATACAAAGGTCATTATGCCCAAACCCTCATCCAGTGCTAGGACCCTCTTATCAACATCTCTATCTTGCTGAATGATGAACAGCTAGGGACTGTCACTTAGATGAAAGGAGTTACTAATTTGGCTTTGTGTGTGTGTGTACTGCTTGCAAAGTAATTCATGAATTTACAAACGATTTCCTCTTGACTCTTTCAGTTTGGTTTTCCCTTCCTCTCACTTCCCCTCCCCAGTCTTTCTTCCTTCTTTCTTTCTTTCTCTTTTCCTTCCTTCCTTCCTTCCTTCCTTCCTTCCTTCCTTCCTTCCTTCCTTCCTTCCTTCCAGAAACAGACTCACCAAAGAGGAACTTGATGATATTAAGATTGTTTAAAAATATTTTGTGTCTTCTTATGCTGCCCTGTTGTCCAACTTTTGTACCAGAACATTTCATTTTGAATCAAAATGCCAGTGCAGGGGCAAAATTATTGCAGAAGAGCTTTCATTATACAGTTGTCGCTTTAATGATTATATAAAGACTTTTAAATGCGTAATGTAAAAGACACAATTTTTAATGCTTTTTGGTTAGATATTCTGTTAAAAATAAAACAGTTAAACATTTAAACACTTAGGCCTGATATTCCAGTCCAAAACTGCCTTCTATATGGCAGCATTAGACATTATGTTAGACATTAAAACAGACTAGCACAAATTATAGAACTATTTACAGATTCTTTTTCATATCTTGTTAGCAAATTTAAAGAAAAGATGGTGAGCTCTATTGAGGGAAAAGGAATTGACCAGCCTTGGTAGGACACAGAACTATGAGGAGAGAGACATAAAGAGCAAGAAAGACTGGGACTGGGGGAGCTTTCGTCTGGGTGATGAGAAGTGGGTGAGAAAGCGTTTGAAGAAAGCAGCTGTCTTAAATGGGTTCCCTGCTGAATAGGCTTTGAGGCAAAGATTGGCCTGCACAGATTTATTGGGGGAATGCTTGTAGGAACAACACTTGTAAGATAAAGGGAAGCCGACTTGGGCAGGGGGAATAGTTGAGCTCTGGAACCTAGATGGCCTCCCTAATTGAGGCAAAGGAGCCCAAACCCCTATATCAACCATCATTAGATGTGGGATGCTCTCCAAAAACAGGCTTTTTAAAAAAGTTTATTTATTAATTTTGAGAGAGAGAGAGAGAACGAACGTGCCTGGCAGCTGGAAGAATGAGTGCTTTGATCCCGAAAGGGAAGTCAGGCAGTGCACCCTAGCATCTACCACAGCAGCTGTCATTGATTTGGGAGAGTACTAAGAATAGTGATGCTGGGAAGATAGAACTGTGAAATGTTCAGGTGCTCCTTAAAATCCTCCTTCGTCACTTTAGTACTTTCTTTATAATTTAAGTAAGTACTTAAATTTCTTTAAATTCTATCTTTCCATTGTTATTGAATTGATGGTGATGGTGGTGATGATGATGATGATGATGATGATGATGATGATTTGACCCAGTGCACAGACTGAGTCAATGTGACCAACTGTATTTTCAGGTTAAATAAATTTTGGAATGAAATTATGTTGTGACAGTGAAATGGAAAGATATATAAATTGATAATAGTAGGTTTATTAGAAAAAGAAGGTAATTGAAAAATGGGATATCTTGGGGAAGTAGAAATAAGCATATCTAAAGGGACAGAGAGTGATGGACTAGACTGTAGCCACAGAGTAAAATTTTCTTCTAGAACACTAAGAGAAGGAACAGTTCAGATCACAGAATGGTGAACATTTTCTATAAAGGGCCAGATAGTAAATGCTTTAGGCTTTCGAGGCCTTATCGTCTACTCAGCTTTGTGGTCATTGTGAAAAATCAGCCATAGACAATACATAAGTGAATGTACATAACTGTGTTTCAATAATATCTTATTTACAAAAACATGCAGAGGGCCAGATTTGGTCTGAGCCATAGTTTGTGGAACTCTGATTTAGATGGCAAAAAAGACCACTGAAGGGCTAACCAGTGTTTGCCTAAGTTGTTACACTGCTTTGTGATAATTTTTTTAAAGATACCAAATAGGCAAAAGAATATACAAAGAGAAAGCTAGAATAAAGTAGCCATATGTAACATTAATCCTATCACTTTTGTCACATGGTTGATCATGTATGCACAGCCTTTCACTTCATGATTTACTAGGTTTTTCATGCTTCACATTTATATGCTTACTTCAGAAATAATCAGTTTTTTTAAATAGAAGCAATGATTAATCCAACCAACATGTGCCACCCTGATAAATCCGAATGGGTTTTGACAAACACATCATAAGAAGTAGCTAATCTCATGGTAAGAAATGTGGCAGCAACCCAAAGGAAGGGATTCAACTTCTGGAATATTCATGTGACAGGGAATGGGGTCTTTCCACTTAATTTGTGTGACTTTTGACAAATCTTTTACCCTCTTATACTCTATTTTGCAGCTATCCAGTAAAAACACATTTGATAGTTTTCCAGAGTTTTGATATCTACATGTTCAATCCCTTTTTGGAATAAGGCAGTGTTTTTTCACATCTAAGTTGCTGCCTGGCCAAATCCGCAAACAAAGACGTTAGTAAGAAAAGCCTTTGTTGGACTGTAGGTGAGAGGAGAGGATCCTAACAATTGTTATGATTGTACGGCCAGTAGGGATTTGCTTCAGAATTTCATTCACTCTTGTAATTTGGGTGCCCAAGTAATTACAAAGGGAGAATCAAGAGAAGTCTTTATGTCTCTTAGCTGTCTTTTTATTAGGCATACCAGGGCCTAGTGAGCAAATTGTGACTGATAATCAAGGAGAAAGATGTAACCTGTGTTTCCTTCTGGTGGGGGAGAGTGACAGTTAAAAGGCTGAGGGTGAGTGGCAGAATGACGATAGCTTTGTTAACCTGACTCTGTAGATCAGATGATCATTGCCTGAAATGCCAGCGTCTGGTTGGCTGTAAGAAAATGCCTTTTTCCTCCTTTCACTCACCAGTTTTTCTCCCTCCATTTAAATTGTAATTACACATTTATAATGCATTGCAAGTGTGTCTAGTTTTACTCAGAATCCTCCAGGAGCTCTAGAAACTAGTACTTTTATAATGGAGGGATATTCTTTTGGAGTTATTTCTTTGCTAAGGAAGACTTTGTTTTTATTCATTTTCAAAGTTCACTTGCACTTTTTTTCTCCTCAAAACTGATAGGATTTTCCCAATCAAATAGTGAGCACTGGCAAAATTGAATAATGATATTCAAGTCACGTAACATTAAATAATATCTATATTTTAAGTATCTTTTAATTATGTTAGTAGTTACTGCATACACGTTAATTTGGTATTATTATTTTCTCAAAAATAAGTCAGGCAATTTCTAGTAAAATCTCCATCCCTTAATTTGTTTTTTCAAAATTATATTTCTGTATTCCTTTAAAATCTAATGGCTAATTCTTTTTTTTAAGTTTATTTATTTATTTTGAAAGAGACAGAGACAGCATGAGTGGGGGAGGGGCAGAGAGACAGGGACAGAGAGAATCCCAAACAAGCTCTGCACTGTCAGCACAGAGTCTGATGTGGGGCTTGAACCCATGAAACTGTGAGATCATGACCTGAGCTGAAACTGAAAGTTGGACACTTAACCTACTGAGCCACCCAGGCGCCCGTCTAATGGCTAATTCTAATCCTGTACTTTTCCTTTGCTCTCTCTTCTCTCTGTGCATTTATTTCAGATTCATTTTGGTATTTATATCAGTAGCTACTTGTTTCTTTAGATGTAGTATTTTATCTTGACCTTCGAAGTAGCTGGAAAGCAACAAAAGTACCAGGCAAAACATAATGATCTGGTGAAACTAATAATGACACATACTAAATATAGATCCTTCAATATATTCCTGACCTCGTGTTATTTATATAAACAGTCATTTTATATCAATAACTTTTATCTTATATTGCGATCATTTCAATGTAAAACTCCATCAAATCCTTGGAGGTACAGCATTTTTTTTGCCAAGTTATTTATAATAAGTAGGATTATGTAGTCAATATATAAAGACAAAAATTGACAAAATATAAGTCAGGAATATTTTTTGTCTATAAGTGTATGCAGTGATGGTTCTATCAAAAGGATGTCTCAATGAAGTAGAACCATATAAATTAAACCTTGTGACAAGTAAAATATGATAGTAATAACAATAATAATAAAGGCAATAGTATTTTTTTCTCAAGGGACTCCTCCTAAAATATGACAAGTGCCTTTTTTTTTGAGGGGGTGGACAGGGGAGTCATGGAAACATTTTTAAAAGTTGCATCTGGGGGTACCTGGGTGGCTCAGTTGGTCAAGCATCCGACTTTGGCTCAGGTCATGATCTCACGGTTCATGGGTTCCAGTCTTATGTCGGGTTCTGTGCTAACAGCTTAGAGCCTGGAGCCTGCTTGGGATTATATGTCTCCCTCTCTCTCTCTCTCTGCCCCTCCCCTGCTTGTGCTCTGTCTCTCTCTCTCCCAAAAATAAATAAACATTAAAAATAAATTTAAAAAAATCGTTGTATCTGGAATTCGTTAACTGTGAGATCTAAGGTAAATAGCTTAACATCTCTGAGCTTTG